TGGACTTGTCCTTCCGGATTCCACCCCCAAGATCAATGCTTGACCATTGGGCACCGCTTTATGGTTTCACTCTATCTCAATAAAGTTGCATCTGGCTTGTTGCATTCAATTTTATTAAGTAACAAATTATTTCTGCTTATTTCTCTTTCAAAAAGCTCCTGACTGATCATTCGGCAAACATGTCGTAGGCATTAAACAAACACCCTATCGTAGTTCAAAACTGAGGTTGTTCAGTACACAGAGAGTCTGACTTAAACCCAGGGGTCATGGGTTCAAACCCAGATGACGTTACTTGCATTTCTTCATTCTATGGTCGGTAAATGACTCATTCTGTTGGAAGAAAACTGTAGGCTACTCGTCATGATTGGCACATTGGGTTGACGGTGTGAAAATGGAGAGCAGCGCCGCTCCACGCTAAATAATTTGTTTGGAAATTACTTAGTCTCCTTTATAGAAGATTTAGTTGGTCCTGGTCAGGTTTCATATTGAAAATGGTAAACAGTATACTAAACATTTTACCCTATCTAGTGCATAAAATCACGGAAGTAAGGGATTTCTCATCGATACTATAGTATTAGACGGTTGGTAAAAAACAGAATTTACAGTCCAAATTTTATGAATTATGAGTTTCAGTTTCTGGAATAGATAAACAAAAATAAATAAAACTGACTTCGGTCACCCTGGCGATTAGTAGCGTGAGTTTTCATTGTGTAAATCTGGTATCGGTTAAAGAAATGTGATATTTACCGGCTAAATTGCAAACCTACTAATCGAAGTACCAAAATCAGTTCATATTTTATCTATATTCACCTAGTGAGATAGAGAGTTGGTGGGAAAATGTTTCGGTGCTCAAACAGGCCTCTGTTCAGCCCAACTCAGAGATGCATGGCAGGCTTTTAAGTACAATAGAGCCGTGACCTGTTTAAATGCAGCCTATAGGAAACCAGAAGCAGCAGGACGGTAAGCTGTTGAATGTGCAAATCAGCTTTCAGCAAATGAAATGGAAAACAACATCAAGTTTATTCTGGTTCTCGCCACATAATGTATCTTGAGCCATTCTAAGTGCTGCATCTACTGCTTCGACTTGATAGGAGTGTAACAAGACCCCGTAGAGCTGAGCCTACTGAAGCTGCCATGCCGTGGAAGCTCGAGAAGTATAGCCAGCCAAATGGAACGTGCAATCCTCACCAACTTGTCTGGCTACCTTGGCGAAATTTTCAGAGAAGGAGTCACAATTAAAACCATGGGCCTCACTTCCAAGGGACTGGATTGTTACCGGCGAAGGCAGCAGCTAATCAGGCAAGAATGCAGAGGATGTTAGGAATATCCGGGTAATGTTTCGAAGGTGCTCCGGTTTGCTGGCGCTTGCGACTTACAACTGTAGATCACTCCTAAGCGAAGCAAAACTTAAGACCTAGAAGAAGAACTAGATAGTACTCCTGGAAGTGCGACGAAAGGAAAAGAAGGACAGTATGTAACACTGGGTAGCTCTGTTGCATAAAGGATCATTAAATAGAAGAACAGAAGAAGGAAAGTTCATCCCTCACAAAAGATTAAAGAACAGTGCAGCACAAGACGATAGCATTTCAGAAAAGTACACAAAACTGGTCCTGGGAGGAGTTGAAAGAGCAACAAACGTCAAATGACTGAAGCATCTGTGCTGACATCGAGCCATCCTGATGAAACGATTGAAAAATTTTAAGATGAAATGAAAGAAGTGCATGAACTTGGAAAGAGAAATTGCAAATTTGTCCTTGGTGATTTCAACGTTAAAGTTGAACCACAGCAAGAAGAAGAATTCTCTGCGAGTCGATTT